ACGTGACTTGACCTGACCTGGGGCCTGGCTCTCACCAACACTTTCTTCCTGTTTCTTGTGCCGCCGGAGGAATATCTTGACACAAAAGCATGACGTCAATTTGGTTCGTTCAGAATTTATTATGCTGGTGGCCGAAATAGTGAAGCCTCATGGTGATGTTGTGAGGTGAGGTGTGAGGTGGGCGTGGGGTGGGGTGGGTGTGGGGTGGGTGTGGGGTGGGTGTGAGGTGGGCGTGGGGTGGGGTGGGTGTGGGGTGGGTGTGAGGTGAGGTGTGGGGTGGGCGTGGGGTGGGGGTGGGTGTGAGGTGGGTGTGAGGTGTGAGGTGAGGTGGGGTGGGCGTGGGGTGGGGTGGGTGTGAGGTGGGTGTGAGGTGAGGTGTGGGTGGGGGTGGGTGTGAGGTGGGTGTGAGGTGTGAGGTGAGGTGGGGTGGGCGTGGGGTGGGTGTGAGGTGGGGTGGGCGTGGTGTGGGTGTGGGGTGGGTGTGGGGTGGGGTGGGTGTGGGGGTGGGTGTGAGGTGAGGTGTGGGGTGGGCGTGGTGTGTGGGGGTGGGTGTGAGGTGAGGTGTGGGGTGGGTGTGGGGTGGGGTGGGTGTGGAAAATTGGGAGTACCTGAAGGGTGGAACACAGAGCCAGAGTGAGAGGAGGTCTCCAGCTGGACGAATGTTACAAGTAGGGTCCCCAAAAGGCTCAGTTCAGAGACCACTAATGTTGCTAATTTCTGTATAATGATCTGCCTGAGGGCGTGAGCTCTTATATAAAGAGCTTCTGGCCTCACTCACGTCTGGGGGGTCCAGGGTTCGAGTCTCCTACAGCCCAGGTGAATGGAGATCTTACATGTTAATGTTTGCAGACGATACAAAGCTAATGAGCAATGTTAAAACAGAGAAGGACTGCAGTATGTGATAGGAAGACCTGGACAATCTCCAGGACTGTACAAGCAGATGGTTGCTGGACATCAAACCCAATAAGTGTAAGGTAATGAGGATCTGGAAAGGAGAAGAAAGACCAGAAGAGAGAGAGAGAGATTTGGGAGTGGACATAACCCCAACACCAAAGACACACACATAGGCAGGATGCGACTATATTACTTTCAAAGCCATGAGGATAACTTGAAGGAACTGGACCTCACAATCTCGGAGGACAGAACATACAGAGGAGACATGATCCCAACATACAAGATACTGACGGGAATTAGACAACGTGGACAAGGACAGTCAATTGAAATCAAGAGAAAATAGGACGAGAGAACACAGTTGAAGCTGGAAACTCAAATGAATCCATTCGTGAGAATAGACCAACAGATACGGCCAAGTCAAGCGGGCGTGCAGAGCTAGACCTAACCTCCCCCGTAGTCCCTGATTAGGTAAGCACAGTTAGGTAAGCACGACAAGGAGGCACCCATGGGAGGGGGGGGGGCGGGGGGCGGGGGTCATAGTCACAACTCTAGTGCAAGTTTTGGATGGTTTTTAGTAATTCCCACAGCTTAACGACCGTAGAGGGAGAGGGGGGGGGGTACACAGTAGTGGGGGGAGGGGAAGGGGGTGTACACAGTAGTGGGGTACACAGTTGACGGTGGATGTCAACCATTGCTAACATCCACCAGCAATGACCCTGTCAGACCCACACGGACGGACGGATATAAGAACAGATTCGACAAAGTATTTGCATGTCAAAAATAGTTCTAAGTTGTAAGACAACAGGTACAAGAAGGCTGGTAGGCGGGGTATCAAGAGCTTGAGCTCAGTCTGTCGTAGACACTGTTAGGTAAGTCTCTGTGTCTGTCTGTCCTCTCTCTCTCTCTCTCTCGTCTCCTCTCTCTCTCTCCCTCCTCTCTCTCTCTCTCTCTCTCTCTCCTCTCTCTCTCTCTCTCTCTCTCTCTCTCTCTCTCTCTCTCTCTCTCTCTCTCTCTCTCAGTAAACCCAAGTAAAAAACTACAAATTACTTCGTGGAAGGTTAGGTCAATAAATGCGGCCATTGTTGGCACTTTCCCCCAACTCAAGTTTTTGTTGTAAACTCTTGTGTTGTTTTTGTTCCGTTGTGACGGAGACATTATGTAAACACTGGTGGCTAAGACCAGTGTCTCTCACACCTCTCTGTCTCCCTCTTGTACTCTTGGTCTGGGAGGGGGCAGCTTCCTCACAGCTGCCTCCAAGATGTCTTCCAGGAAGGCTGCTCCCTCCAAGATGTCTTCCAGGAAGGCACTTCTCTCCAAGATGTCTTCGAGGTAGGCAGCTCCCTCCAAGATGTCTTCCAGGAAGGCACTTCCCTCCAAGATGTCTTCGAGGAAGGCAGCTCCCTCCAAGATGTCTTCGAGGAAGGCACTTCCTCCAAGATGTCTTCGAGGAAGGCAGCTCCCTCCAAGATGTCTTCGAGGAAGGCAGCTCCCTCCAAGATGTCTTCGAGGAAGGCAGCTCCCTCCAAGACATCTTGAAGTAGCGTGAAAAAAAGCCCAGAACGCAGACCAGGAAAGTGACACGTTACGTCATTGATCTTGACGTCATTAATCAGCTGGTAACTAAGGCTGTGATTGGCTCTACTAATTACCTCTTGGCTTCTAATCATGGAAATGCCGCCAAAGTTTGTAAACAAAGACTGTCTACTTTAGAGGTCTTTATAAACACATTCTTTAATTTAAGTACAGTGTTGTACTGTTATATACACTACTTTGATGCTGAAGAAGTCAAGGTAAGGGTTACAGAGTGTGGTAATTGGATAGTAACTTCTGTCCAATTACCAGGAGTCGTAGACCTGATGGGGTGGGGGAAGGCCTTGTACGTCGAGTAATAGCTGATGTATCCAGGGGTCGTACGCCTGAGGGGGGACGTCGTACGCCTGAGGGGGACGTCGTACGCCTGAGAGGGGACGTCGTACGCCTGAGGGGGGACGTCGTACGCCTGAGATAGACGTCGTACGTCATGTAAGGACACCCAGCTCTCATTTAGCGTACGTTTAGACAGCTCGCCGTGCTTCATATCTCCCTCAGTGACCCGTACAATCACTGACACTTGTAAACTCCTCGAACTATGTCATCCGACTGGTAGTTCCGGGTACTGTAGTTTGGTGGGGTTAACGAGGGCTCTGCGACGGATGAGGGGTCAAGCCCCGGGGGGGAGGGGGGAAGGATAGGCTGCTACGACATTCACCTCGCGTTCAGGTCGTGTATAAATCGTGATCAGGTCGTTTCCCGTTCATTAAGTCACGTCAGGTCGTGCAGGGACGACTTGAGAAGGACCGTTGAAGGACGGGAAAACGACATTCACCAAAAACTGGGAAAAAAGTCGTTGCGCGAAAGTGAGAAAATGCAAATTAGGAATATAAATAGATTATTTTAAATGGAAGTTTAATGAAACGACAGACAGAGTAGAGGAATGAAG